CTGTGACAGCCAGAAATCTTGCTTGTTTGTAGGTGACCAAATACTTATTTTCCACCATTATTTGCAAAAAAATTCTGTCAGACAAAATGATTTTCTCAATTTTTTTTTCACATTTTGTCTCTCATAGTTGAGGTCTACCTATGATGTCAATTACAGGCCTCTCTCATCTTTTTAAGTGGGAGAACTTGCACAATTGGTGACTGACTAAATACTTATTTTCCCCACTGTATCTGCTGGAAGTAACACCCACAAACAAAACCTCTTCAACTTCAGAACAGACGTTTAGTTGTTTTATTGTAAAAATAGGTATCTATTATCCTTTTATAAAACTTATGCTGTGTTCACACTGTATATAAAACGGACCCAGTTCTGATTTTTTTCAACCATATGCAACCTGTTTTATTTACTGGTATTTATTTATTATGACAGTCTGATGTTAGAAAAGCATTTTTTCACCCCCAAATGTGACACAGGTCTTTTTCATAAATGGTAAATGGACTGTGTTTATATAGCACCATTCTATCTAACCAGGATACTCAAAAAAAAGTTTGTAGTCATTTCCTTGTCTCCGGTGAGGAGATTGCAGGTGTCGAAAAGAAAGTCACCAAAATTTCAAATCTAAAATGATTCCTGCTAAACAGTTTTTTAAGCCCTGTTTACGCATGAATGATCTCTGAAAACTTCAGAGATTTTCTGTTGCATGAGAACAAGTTACAAGTTTATACAGTAATGTTGTAATTGATGAATGTCCTGTAGTTTCAATGCCAGGCCAGTAGCTAGTGCTGTGATTTTTGTATTTCCACAACACTTCAGTATCAAGCATAACAGTGAGGTCTAAAATGATGAATACTCAAACATTCATTTGGACCAATGTTGAGGTTGGGTTGCTCATGAGTGATCAGCACAAACAGAACTTTGATATCCACCATTGTTACTGTTGTTCATCTACTTGCTCAAGCGCAGAAAAGCTATTGACATTGAGTTTGGCTTCACGTAAGTTGCGGTTTCTTTTGAAACGATGCCGGGCATTTCCACAAGTCTCTCTTCAGACCTGAATTGAAAAAGCTTCAGTGTCMGAGAAAATGGCTGCTGTTGTAGTTTACATGAACGGCCGAAACAAAGCAGAAATGCTACTGTTTCGCTTAAAAACTGTGTTACGTAAACAGGGCCTTAAAGACTTTTGTTTCCCATTCAATAAGTTTCTCAGTTCAAAGCTGAAATGTACAAAGTTTTATGCTTAAWCTGTTGTTGAGCTGTTCATTTAGTCAACTGCTGAATTCCAATGAAAATAAGTTTTACTCCCCTCCCTCCTGATGGTCCATAACCGATAGTCTAAACCTGATCTCCATGCTCGATGTTTTGGTCACATACATAATTCTGTGAAACCATCTGAGTCGTCTCAAAGCTGCMTTCTGTGTGCTGGAAAGGTGAACCTGAGATCTCCTCATCTGTTTAACTTTGGAGTTTTTCTGTTTAACGTAAAGTGCTCCATAGTGAAAACATTGTGAAATTCCACCCTTGCGTGTTTGTGTGGACAGCCAAAACACAACCTTTTTTCAACAGCGATGTCATATCCTTATATTTATTCTGAAGTAGGAGAGTGAGGTTGTCTTCTTTTCTCATGATSTTTACATTTTTCACTCCGCAAACTTCATGTGCATGTTAATGCAAGACACTTTGCAGCACCACATACAGGCCCGGCATAGTTACTACAGCGTTTTAGTTCGTTTTTAAGGTTTTGTGTTAGAAATGGTGCCATGTTCACAAGGATATTTTTAAAAACAAAAGAGAAAAAAATGTTTTGCAAAAACTGTGTTTTTATCAACAAACCRCCTCTTTTTCTTCTCTGTCAAGACATGACAGGTCATTCTCATTCCTGATTYGTCAAATATCGACACATGTCCAAGGTTCCCTCTGCGTCCGGTTTTGACGTGTCGGGTAACCCCCTCCCATCAGTTATTGAYGAGATGARAACAASGAAGAGGAGYCCGTTGTCATATTTTTGAAAAGTGTAGAAAATGCACCTCAAGTAACGGTCCCAAACCCTAAACTTAACTTCTATTATCCCTAGACGTCCTATCCCTGATTTCACTACCTAAAATTAACCAGTAATCCTGATCCCTAATATTAACCACRGGCTCCAACCTGAAGAKATGAACWTGGAAAAGCCCATTGTGTCAATAACTGACGTGAAGGGGTTACCTGATGTGTCAAAACSGGACGCAGAGGGAACCTGGACAAGCATCAATATGTGGCAAGTTGGGAGTGAGAATGTGTTGGGCATGAACATTACTTTCTTCCAAAGAGTTTCCTTCTCTACATGATACAAGTGAACATTTGAGTTTGACCTGCAGCTCAGACTCTGCTGTGTAGCACAACAGTTTAAAAGCTTGAGTCTTTTCACCTTTTTGGTTTTGAGTTGAGAAAATTTCTCAAATGAGATGTGAAAGGTCTTCAAGAAGCTAACAGAAGTCCAGTGGCCTTTGATTGAATTTGTAAAAGTCTGTATGTGAACATGTGATGGAAGGTGTCAGGGTTGAAGAGTTGTTTTAACTGTGAATYCACACGTTTGTGCATGCAAAAGATTCCTGAGGGTTTATATATGCCTGTGTGTGTATGGCTTGTCTGTGTATGTTTGTGCTTGTATGTGTAGAATTTTATGACTTAACACTTTTCTGAATCACCAAACTCTGCACAGCTGGGCGCTCAGTAGAGATTAAAACAGCTACAGGCTTTCAAGGAGCTAGGTGAAACACCATGGGGTTTAGACCCTGCATGGTCTGAAAGGGGTTAAGGTTCAGAGGTCAAGGATTAAACACCATCAGGTACGGGCAGTTTGATGGGTCCACTCAGTGATGGCGCAGAAAGCCTTTAACTCCAGACAATGACTATTTGCCAATGGCTGATCTTGATGGGAAAGCTACCATTCAATCAGGAACACATGCAGCACCTTAAAACAGATCAGTCAAGCATGTCCAAATTCTCAAGCTGCTTGACCCCTGACCATGTGTAAGCTTCCAAATGGATCATTACTAGCTAGTATGGTATCATTTGTGTGGTTAGTGGGAAAATTCCCACTCTTGTTCAGTTCTCTTTGTTCAACTAATCAGTATTAGGAGAACAGAGTTAAAGTACAAATGGAGTTTATAGCTGATTCTTTTTTAGCTATTGTCATAATAAGCTCTTGTTTTTATGGCTTTGGTTGTTTAAGCATGTTGACAGATTAAGCTATGCAGCTGATCAAAGACTTCCTTTTCAACCTTACCAGAATTTTTACCCATTTGTTTTGCCTCCGTAGCTTCCCTTGCTGTCCAACCGTCGGTGGTGATTGAGGATAAAGAGCGAACGTGTGATTCCTTACTCATGTGCATTGTCACCGTACTGAGTCACGGCCTCAGGAGTGGAGGAGGTGTTGGGGACGTCCTGCGGAAGCCATCCAAAGAGGTACAGAAACAAAACAACACCAAAATAAGAAACATCACACAAGTTTCTTGAAGCATGGAAGGAAAAAATGCTAAACCGAGTGGGAAAGACAAAGAAAGCACTTTCTTGTTTTTGTCCGACCTGACAAGCCGAAACACAAGACATACTGTGTAATTCTTGCATGTAAAATTAGATGGAATTGAATTAAAGTGAATGAAGAAAACCCATGCCATAGAGCTCAGAAATGCAATTTATGTGTTAATAAAACGAAACAAAGATTTAATTTAATTTAACTTCAAATGGTGCCTAACAAATCACATTCACTTGGTGAAAAAGAGAGTTTTTCCAGCTAAGACGATTTGTGAAAAATGCAGCAGCAACTGCAGTTGGTTTGAAACAAACAAACCTAGAGATGTCCTCAGCTGAAGGATTGGAGCGTTTGCATCAAAGACTTTCATAACCTCAAGCATTCCACCAATAAGGAAGTTATTGAATACAGGATAAGTACAAGGATGAACTCCTCTATAGAACAAATCAGGTGAAGCTGACTCAAAGATTGAGGAAATGTTTCAGTCTTTTATCACTGCCTGTCAAAAGTTTGGCCATGCCTGATTCCATTTATTATTATTATTATTATTATTATTATTATTATTATTATTTAATTATTACCTCATGAAGCTGATTGAGAAGAAGCCAAGTGTGTGCACAGCTGTAATCAAATCAAAGTGTGCCTACTTTTAACGATTCTAAAACATATTTTGGTTTGGTTTAACACTTAAGTTTACCACACAGTTCCTCCTTTGTTCCTTCATGACCTGAACACTTTCTTTATTAATTTACAATATAGGAACAAAAAAAAAAGAAAACATTGAATGAGAAGGTGTGTCCAAGCTTTGACAGGTAGTGTCACTTGACTCAAAGATTGAGGAAACGATTCAGWCTTATATAACCCTCCCTCAGGTTAACGTTTATGCAAATTTTCTCCAAGTCATGTCGGGTCAAGTATGATGTAACATTATTATACTTTATTTAGTTCCGTTTAAGTTGGACGTGAGTTTCAGGTAATTACACAACTAGATAGCTACCTGTTTATACCGAGAGGAAACGTTGATCAGCCCATGTCAGAACAAATGTTGGAACTTTTATGCGAGATTTAAAGTTATTTAAAACTCAAATACGTTTGCTTTTTGTTACTTAATCTGTGTTTTTGTTAAAATACACTGATGATATGAAATCTTACAATAAAACTAAGTGAGACGATGTTTGTGTTCAATATTTGTATACAAAAGGAAAGAGCATTCACTTTAAGAAACGGAATATATATATATTTGCAACCTCTTATTTAAAAAAATTAATTTAAATATATATATTTTTTTAATTATACAATGTTTTTTTTAAGTTTCTATTTTGTCTGGTTACTTGTACTGTCAATGTGTTTTATGATGAGCTGGCTAACTTGTGCAGCTTTATCTGTGATCTGTGATTAGCTTTATAATGGTTCATTATTACTTGTTTCCAAAACAGTTTGGCAAGTAAAAACAGGACTGCACTGAGATGGAAATACTTAAAAACGCTGAATGACATCATCATTGTGTGTACATAAGTTAGTACTTCAAGGTGATGTGACTTTTACGTTGTGGCGACATGCGGTTAAATAGGAAGGTTTGCGTGACATCTTCATTTTGTGTCTGTTTTTTTTTAAGTTTCCTTTTTGAACAATTGTAGTTTCTTTTTTTTCTACCAATAGCACTGTGCATGAATGTAAAATATTGTTGAATACTATTAATATTTATCCAGTGACCTAACCTTATAATAAAGTGCAATGACATCAGTTCCAAAATCCAACAATTCAATCTTAATTCAGGTATACATGGTTGTCAGTTGGATTCAAGGTGGTCACTAGAGTTAATTTACTTCATCAAACACAAAAACTGCTCTAAATTATTATAGTTATTTTTAGAAATATAGAGCTAAAATTTGGTGTGGTAGAAGCTGAGAGTCATCCCCAGCACCTATGCTTTGAGTGATAATAGATGGCGTGATACTTTTGTTTAAAACATTTGCATGGAAGATGCATTCCATCAAGGAAGCTCAATCTACAACAGGGATTATGTTTTTTTGACTGAGCCTAATGTATTTAGGCTTCATTTGTAACAACATCTCCATGGTCTATCAGATGCAGTCCTACAGATGTGGATACAATTTGTTGTTGCCCTTCCAAAATAAATAAATCAATTCAATGAAGTAAATTGACTACCGTACTTATAGCGCCTTTCTACCAACCAGGATACTCCGAGTGCTTTATACTACAACATGTGTCCTCATTTACCCATTCACATACACTTTTTCATTCAGCACTCTACTGTGGAGACTAATCAGTGCTTTAAATCACACTCTGGCCAGAAGTGACTCAATAACAGGGAACCAAACTACCAACTCTCTGATTAGAGGATGACTCGCTTAACCACTCAGCCACAGCCGTTGATTACTTTAACTCCTTTTTTTATCATCCACACTAACTGTCTGAGCAATCTGGGGCTGCATTTTTTCTTGCATCCACCTCCAGGGTGGTTGGCTGCAGCCCCATGTATACGCTAGTTTTTTTTATTAATCTTCTTAGTTGAGGTCAGAGGTATGGGGCACCAAGTGTAAATTGAAAAGTTAATAAATGTCACTCATACGTTTTTCATTTTTTAACTCTGAATGTTAAAACTTTTCCGCTAACATTTTATTTAGCTCTCTGTTCTTACATTTTCACATTTTTAAATGTTAAATAATATACATAAATATTAAATTCTAAATCTAAATAGTTAAATCTTAAATGCTGAATTTAAATGTTGAAGTGTATATTTAAGAATTTCGGAATGGAATGCAGCCTTTCTGTTGGTGCTTGGCTCAATGTCGATGTCAAATTAATTTTTAGCTCATTACAAACAACAAAGCTGACCAAAGTTCTTTACAGTTCAGTCAAAGACTTGTATCATTACAAAAACTAATTAAACACCCCACCCCCACAAAAAAATAACACTAAGAAAAAGACATCAGCGCTAACTGAACCTCAAACTCTAGCTCAACGAAAAGCCAAAGAGTTGGGTCTTCAGCAAAGCTCAGGACGTGTCATTATCGTGTGACAATAGCAACCACTAGTGCTTGAACGCAGTTAAAACTTCCCTATAACACATCAAACTTGTAGTTACAGTTGTTGTCTGAGCTGCATTTGAAAATGCTGGACCTCAGGTACCATCCATTACCATCCATACATTATAAATTTAGATTTTAAATACCATCTTCAGCTGCATTAGAAGCATTACCAGGAACTAGCAGCGGCTGGTGTTGACGTTTGTCTCAGGATGATGACATCATTTGGGTTAGCTAAAGCCAACCTCTGCTAATGCTATTAACTCTACTATTTAAATCTAATTTCAAAATGTGTTCATTTAAATCAATATGAATGGTATGTGCAGACCAGAAGTTTGAAGGGCAGCTCAGACACCAGCCACGACGGCAAGTTTGAAGTGTTGTAGGGTGGCGTTAGCTGAGTTACCTCCGTTTTAATGTTAGCGGTGTTAGCGGGTCCTTCTGTCTCGGGATGATGACATCCTAACAAGAGCTGAGTGCCAATGGCAAAGGTTGCAATACATTTTGAAATACTAAAATGTAAACTTTGACATTTAGGATTTAACGTTTACATTTAGACTTGTACATTTAGATTTAGGATGTAATATTTACAAATATTATTTAACATTTAGTATTAATGACTAAAATGTAAGAAAGGTGAGCTAAAAAACAATAAAATGTTGGTGGAAAAATCTTTAAATAAATAAATAAAACTAAATGATGTAAATGTGTAGGTGAAATGTTGAACATTTTATTTTACAGTTGGTGCCCCATACAAAGGTGCATGAAGCTGCTTGGAGATGGTTCTGTTGCCCATACTGTTTTAGATTATTTTTGTAAAATAAACAGCAAAACACTTATTTTCCCAAATACTTGTTTACTTTATCACATAGTAAAGTCATGCAGATATACTTTGGACAGTTGCTGTGTATTGTCTCTTATATGGCCACAGAATAATAATAAAAAAAACACAGAACAGTTCAGCTTTGATTTGCAAATATATTTATCTTGTACCTCTGTCACCATTTCGGTTCAATAGTGGTAAACGGCATAGAAAAGACAAAACAATACTGATGTTCTAAATGTTTTAGATAACTATAATGTAGCTTTTTGGTAAAGATAATAAAAACTACAGGTTAGTAACATGATTGGGCATGATAAAGTTAGGAGTAATGATAGGCGAAGGGGGTTTCCAGTCTGTCAACTGTGTGTGTAAAGTTTAAACAATTTTAGAGCAATGATGAAAAATACACATAATGGCATRGTTATGGCACTCAGTCTACACTGCAAATAAAAACAGCCATTATTCTGCAGTAGAAGCCGTCAACATTTTATTTTTTTGTTTTTACTGTCTGGAGGGACTACAGATGTAAATTAGCCTTAGGCTAAATATGGTGCAATGCATCGTGTTTTTATGTTTGTTTTAATTGCACACTGTCCTGACTAAATAAACTTTTAAAAAAAAGAGAGAAAGGAGAGAAAAAATATRGTATAAACTTGATCTAGAGAAGTTGCTGCCTTTTCTGAATATGAGCTCAGTTTGTACTGATAAAGGATTTATTTTTTAGAAGATGAACTCGTCTGATATGTCAAAATTTAAAAATCTTTTTCGTACAGTACATGGGTGACGTCTCTTTGCGGGTGAATATTAAAAAAAGAATAAAATGAGTTCTCTCTCTCTCTCTCGACTCCCACAGGAGCCCTTGTTCGCAGCCCGAGTCATCTACGACCTGCTCTTCTTCTTCATGGTCATCATTATCGTTCTCAATCTCATCTTTGGTGTCATCATCGATACTTTTGCCGACCTGAGAAGTGAGAAGCAGAAGAAAGAGGAAATCCTGAAGACGACTTGCTTCATTTGTGGTGGGGGGAAATGATTCAAGCAGAACAAATGTTAAATGTTATTTTATTAAAACAATGTTTCCCTTGACATTTCTCTGGCAACCAATGTGCTCACTATCATTTTTAGCCTTACGGGAACATGACTCGCGAACTTTGTCACAAATCGTCTATCTTTTTACCATCACTGCCTTAAGCAGTCACGCTGTCTCGTAAAAAGAAAATTAAAGCACAGGAATACGATTCAGTTTAGTTCAAGTCTAAGTTGCAGTCAATATTTAACATGTTGCACAAAACCTTAGTCAAGCAGCGCAGCGTAAATGTTGACACTTGCAGTTTAACTAAAGGGAAATCAAAAGAGTGGTCTGCACGAAGCATGCGAGCGTGGAACTGCTGTGCAACGGATTCCCATCAGGGCTGTTTGCAAAATGGGGGCTGTTTTTCTGTGTAAAAGAAAACACACACACACACACACACACACACACACACAAAAAAAAAAAAAAAAACA